ACGACGCAGATCCTCTGCCGATCTGCAACTTAATCCTGAACAATTGCAACAAAAAGCTACGTATGCGCAAGTTCAAGCGAAGGTCTTGGATAGTCTCGTGGCTGAGGAGCAAGCTCAGATCGAGAATGAAATACGACAAGGTACTTTGATGAGGAAGGAGACAACAACGAGAGGTTCAATTATTGCTCACTCTTACTATACCAATTCCGATACGATGACTGAAGAAGAGGAGAAAACAGCTACAACAAGAATAAAGAAAACCACGAATAAGACGAAAAAAAAGAAGAAGCCAACTATCGATAAATTATGGCTAACTGATAAGATTGATAACAGGCGATCGAGTATCTGCAACGAAATATCCACTGATTCGGAGATTGAAGAGAAGAACAATGAGTCGAAATCTCAGATGTATAAGATCGAAGCTTGTAACAGCGCTGGGGATTTCTCTACAATTTGGGTGAATGCAAGCTCCGAAAATGAGAAGTGTGAATCAATAGCCGAACAGTTTAGAGAGAGTGTGAAGATTCCTATTCCCAGGGTATTTAAAACTGAAAGTGAAGTGAATGCTTTTCCGAATAATATGGACGAAACGGAAATGCAAATAGTGTTACCTACGCAAAAACCTTACCTAAAGGATACATCAAGGAACAGCGTATATTTGACAATAAAAAAGCCTATAGAAAAACTCAACATCAATCTCGAAAGAAATGAGAAATTCAACAATGAAAATCAATTAAGCCTGACAAATGGTTTCGTTGATGTGAAAAATAATATTCTTAAAGATAATGTATTAAATAATTTAACGAGCAAAGATTCACTGGAATTGAATGACGATATAGAAACGACAAATGATACTAAAGATATGACGGTAAATAAAATTTCAGATAAGTCTAAGAAAATGGAATTTTCGGCAAAAAAGAACATTTATTTCACATTGGATGATAACTTGGACATACGAAACAAGATTGTCTCAAAAACAAATAGCGATGTACGAGAAAATGACATAAACAATGCACCACTTTCGAAGAGTGCTGAGAAGGTTATGAATTCTATACAATCAAGCGCTTCAGCATTTATTTCGACGAATGCACAGAAAAACGATGCACAAGTAAAACAAATAAAATTATCCAAAAATATTTTCACCAATATAAAAAAAAATGAAAGTCAGAACAATGATAATGTAATCAATGCTATGAAAGGCTTTGATTACATAAAAACTGTTTCAACTACCGAGATGCCAAAATTTCTCACTACTAAAAATTCTGTCACTTCAAAAACAGATAAACTCATGGAAGAAAAAGATAAACCAAAAATCTTGGCGATGTCGCGTGAAGATGCTACAAGGCGAAGCGTTGTCTTAAGTGAAGTTGACGATAATGCTGGGGAAAACAGTGCCAATAGTGCGTTGTGTCGTCTGCCAAAATCGTCTAAAATTAATACAGATAGAAATAATGTCGTAGAAGCGTCAGAGCTTTCATTACGAGAGACGGCACAGTATCTGGCAAATCCACCGGATAGTGCTGAGGAGGTTGTCACGTTGCCGGAAAAGAAGGTGAACAAAGCATCAAAATTGGCAAAGACTTCCTTCTTCAATGCTTCGAAGAAACCCAATAGCGTAGACACGAGTAAATCAACTTTTAAAATTAGCGTAACTCAAGCCAATGACATGGCCAATTTAGTGACCACAGAAACGACCTTGCCCAAGGAAATGAACGGTGAAGTGCGTAGTACTGACTGCAATGAGGAAATGAAATCAATAACAGATGTCAAACCGACAAAAGTCGATTTGACGAAAACATTGACAAATAAAATAGAGAAGACTAATGGAAACATATTACGCAAATTATCTATAAAAACGACTAATTCATCAAAAGTCGAGACGGAAATAGTCAACACCAAAATATCAGCATCGAAAGAATCGAATCTATTGAAGACTGACATAAAAAAAAAAAGTAATGTCGACATAGTCGACATAGGAAAAGATTCATCAGGAGATTCCGATTTATCCAATCTAAAAAACAATGTGCCGAGACTTGATGTTGCAAAATCCAAATTCAAAATGAAAACTTTTCCGAGAACGGCTGTGAACGAAACCGATAAAATGGGCTCATTGAAAATTAAGGAAGATTCAGATATATCTAAAATAACAAAAATTAATGATGATAAATCCATATCATTTTCTCAAAAAGATCTTGATGTGCCAGGAATCGTGAAAAAAGGCATCTTTGTTGATTCTAAAAAATTAATGAATGATTGCTTATCGAATTTGACATCGAATAATATTCCCAATGTGCAACAATCTGCATCCGTTGATGAAAAAGCTGCGGATAAAAGTATATCCATCAAAAAAACGTTAAAGCCGACAAAATTTCTGAATAAAGTAACGGAAAAGAAGTCGGTGATAGTCGACGTGAATTACGACAAGTCGCAGGAGAAAAGTGGGCAATTATCCAAAAGTGCTTCTACCGAATCTATCGATTTTTGGAGCGAGATTAAAGCGACGAGTAGTCCTGAAGAGGTGAAATCGAAACAAAAAAGCGGATTTTCTTGCGAGGCTACAATCACCAAAATTGAAAACATAGATTCAATGACTTCGAGGATATTTAATGATTCATTGGCAAGAAAGAAGTCGTTGATAGCGTCAGTAAAAAATTTCAATGATAAAAAAGATAAGACTAACGTCAAAAAAGGCATAGCAGAATTCGGCAGTTCAACAGTTGAATCTAGTAACGTTGTCGCAGAAGAAAAAAAGGAAAAAGAGAATGTCATTTTGGAATTTCCAAAAGTGAAAAATGAAGAAGCTGCAAAACTTGTTAAAACAACAGAGATTAAGAAAAACGCGCTGAAAATGCCGCCAAAGAAGAAGAAAAACCTTTCAATAACAATCGGTACCAAGGACTCGAATTCGACCGCAAAGAAGACTCCCTTGAAACATGATGATTCCGCGATCCTAATACAATCCGACTCTACAACATCCAATATGACGACTGTTGCAGCTTCGGAAGTATCTACTCTTTCTGAGGTCACAGTACCTGTAATAAATATAGTCGAAGCGTCTAAATTATCCGAAGAATCTAACAGCCGCAGAATCGATGAAGTTTGGGACGAAAATCCCGATACTCCAACAAACGAACTACCATCCGATCTTTTTTTAACTACAAAAATCTCAAAATGGAGCAATCAGGACGATCGGATGAACAATGACGATGTAAAGACTCCCATTGCGTCGGAAAAGACCAGTTTGGTCGCTAGTCCTAACATCAATCCGCAATCTTTCAAGACAAAGCATTCGATTAAGAAAAAGAAGCCGTCTACTAAGAAAATACCGTTAACGAAAAGTGAGAGAGAAATGAAGATTCGTAACAACGAATCGATGATAACGAGTCAACAGAACACGCTTACTCCTGAAAAGCAGTTTCCAGCAAAACCATTACCGAGAACGTCGCCCAAGTCCAGTCCGAGAAACACACCTTCACAACGCCCACTCGATCTCATCAGGATGTTCTATACTACACCATCGGCATTGCTCACAGCCACACCGAGAGATCTCTCCAAGATCAGAAGAGCGAAGATCAAAAAGAGGCGACATCATTCAAAAACATCATCCGTCAATAGCGATAGTACCGGTAGTACAACGAGCACCGCCACAACAGGGAGTACAGACGAAAGCGGATCAACTTGCATCGAATTAGACGATGATTCCGAGCACAAGAACTCGACAAGAAGCAACGATTCCGGATTCGACGGTTCACCAAGAATCTTGAGTATTTATTTTTCGATCATCTACACGTCAGAATTTTGTTATTGAATGTATATATCCAATCAGTTTCAAATATTTTTTCTATCTTTAATCACAATTGACAAAAAATATTATTTAAATTGTGATCTTAACGGGACAGTCGAAAGGTATTTGGAAAATACTAATGCGATGGTAATATTAATTTACTAATTTACGTGTGAATGTTTCAATTATTTGTTAATGATTCGCGTATTGTCTGGTAATAATTTTGCATGTCAGCGTATGTGTTACAAAATTTATATACAAAAGCTAAAACTACCTCTAGCTAAATTATAATTATTATACAAAAGTCTCAAAAATATTTATAAGTGTCTATGCTTGGAATGTATTTTGTAATTAATGTTTATTAACATTATGTTTATTAACATTAATGTATATTTATGTTTTTTTTTTTTATATGTATATGATGATTACACTTTTAAACAGAATCACTTTCACATATATTGACTTTAAATCAAGATATAATATGCACAAATAAACTACCGCTGAAGACTAAGAAAAGTCTGTCGAAAAGCTTGTCAGAAATATTTGCGACTAAACTTGCACATTGCAGATGAAACTCATAAATTCAATAGATCAAGTCAAGAGCTTTTTTCCAACACGCCGGAATATTTTCATAAACTTTTTATTTCTTCGTATTGCATTTAGGCTGCGTTCGGAGAGCACGCTTTTAGCGCTATGAGCGTGCTCTGTTCTTGTTCAACTTTCAATAAGTAACAAAGATAGAACGACGCTGTTAGCGCTAATAGCGTCTTCCCGAATGGACCCTTTGTGATATCACATGCTGATGTATCCAATGGTGGAAGCAATAGACGAGGATCAATACATACATCATCCGCGTCGTGTTTTTTTTTTCTGACGCTATTAAAATAATGTTATAACATAGTTATCATAACGTATATGATCTGTATCTAGCACTTCATTTATGTAAAAGAATGTCTCAACACACAGAGTGTAAATTGACCCAACTTTGTCACTATATGCTATGTATCGCATTGATGAAAAAATGTTAGACGGAAAAAATGTTATAGATCTATAAATTCTTTTTCCGTGCATTTTTTCATTGTGGAGGTTGAAATTATAAATCAGTAGAAAGATTTTTCTTCATTCAAATAAATTTTCACACGTACATACAGCCACAATCACAAAAATATTTGACCAAGCCACATATACCAATATATACCACAATATATACCATTCGTATGGTTTTTAGAAATAACATTAATACTATTGTATTTAACGTAAACATTTGTAATCGACTTTTTCTGGATTTTGAAAAATACCAATATCTAATTTGAGATTTTTTCTAAATATTCATTTAAGCAATCCCCTTACGCGGAAATTTAGTAAATATGTATGTAATTTAAAAAAATATCAAATCGCGAGAAACAGAAATTAATTCAGAAATTGAATTCGAGGAAAAAGCTTTTTTGCTCTTATTTTTATATTTTTATATAGGGGAAAGTAGGATAAAACCGGGTATGCGGGTCAAACCGGATATCTCTGTTTCTTCGTGATAAGTGCTGTTATCTTTGGCTAACTCGTGTTATTAGTTGTAGATTGATGTCGACATTATTTTGAGATGAACCGTGTCCACGTGTACACGATATTTCTTTTTTGAGAGAAGTTCAAAATTTCTGAGCCAAAAAAAATCGATATCGGGACAACAATCGAGTCGTTATGGACTTTTTCTACACAGAGCATCTGCTTCGGTAAATGCAGCATTGCACACATACACACACATTCTGTACATATAGAGAGTATATCTACACTAGTTTTGATCATCACTTTGTATGCCGGAATATACAACCGCCGTGTTTGTTATTTTCCTTGTGTTGGGGCAAAACCGGATACCTACACTCATGTAATGAAAAGAGGAAGAAATGTTATTCTGATTTTGTCTTCCTATAAAAAGCAGTTGGAAACAAAAACTACTACTCAGAAAAAGAAACCACAAAAAAAAGCTTTTTGAGATCCCTAAAGTTAAAAAATTAAATAAGAAAGTCCTGCAGCAATGTTGAACAAGAGGATATCTTTATTTGTGATTTTTGTCAATAGAATACATCTTTATATTGTATTTTGATTAAAATAAATCTAGATTTTGTAATTGCACGGTGTTTTACATGTTTTCAAATGGATATCCGGTTTTACCCTATCGGTAGGACAAAACCGGATATTTTGACCTCTCCGAAAAATCTTGTTATCCTTGATAACCAAATATTTTTTCCAGCAACTAGCCTCATTTTCTTATAGTTTAAGGTCCACTAAAGACTAATAATGGTCAGCAAAATTTTTTTTACTCTCTGATTTTTTGTAGGAAGACAAATCCAAAAAAGTACCCGGTTTTACCTTACTTTCTCCTATAGTTCTTTTCAAATAATTTTATTTTATTGTTTTTTTTTTGTTTTTATTACAAATTGTATACTATCCTGTATGTGCGTGCGAACTTGTATGATAACGCTATTATATTGCGTTATTATATACGCTATAATAGCACGCGTAATATACTATCGTAAATCGAGTCTGCTGCTCACACCATTACAAGGCATCAAAAAAATTATGATATTAAGCGGATTTAAAGGATATATTTTTTATTGCTCTGCAATAAAACATTCCTATAGATTGTGACATGGCCTGCCATAAGAAGTGCGAAAAGCTAACTGGAAATCTATGTGGATTAAACCAAAAGCTAGTCGCAGAAGCATTGCAAGCTTTGAAGAGAGGTGAGTAGTAAATATCTTGCGCTGTCCATTTAATTGCAACATTTCAAGAAGTATAGTTCGCAACTACAGTAACACGTGGTACTTTTCCGATATTCTTCGTTCTTCACCTGTTTGCACGGTATGGATATGTTTATATGGATAATTTTGAATGGTCGGATTTATTTTTAAAATATGTTATACAGGGTGTCCTAGACCACCCATACACCCCTTTTCTTTTAAAAACTAAGCATTTTAGAAAAAAACGTTTTGAACAAAAATTGTATGGTTTTGAGGGAAACATAAGATGGTGTCATTGGTTTGACCTTGGATGGCATCGTTAAGTTCAAGTCAAAGACATTTCTTAAATGGAATCCCTCTTTTGTTATTGCATATTTTTGTAGCTTATCTCGAGAGTTTTCCAAAACACTATAATAAAGTATTTTTTCATTAGAACGGAGAGATATGCATAATTTTTTTATAATAATGTGAATATTTCAATATGATAAATATTGAATGATTGTTTTTTTCTTTATACTGATTGATTTGTCTCATTATTCTGTACATAAAAGTATTACGGTAAGATTCTCGAAAACTAAATATTTTACGAGATATTTTAATTTATATCAAAATATGTGTCAGATTAAAATATAAAATAACTTAAAAAGTACTTAATGAAAAAATACTTTATTATAGTGTTTTGTAAAGCTCTCAAGATAAGCTACAAAAATATGCAATAAAAAAAGGGGGTTCCATTTAAGAAATTAAAGGTGTCCTTGACTTGACCTTAACGATGCCATCCAAGGTCAAACCAATGACACCATCTTATGTTCCCCTCAAAACCATACAATTTTTGTCCAAAACGTTTTTCTCTAAAATGCTTAGTTTTTGAAAGAAAAGGGGTGTACGGGTGGTCTAGGGCACCCTGTACAACCGAATTAGAGAGTCAGATATTTTTAATACCAATGACAATATCAGAGGCGACTATTAGTAAGTAATCATATGCATATGTAAAAACTTGCGTTGGTGCACACAAAAAGAAACCTTGATATTCTTTACACACACACACGCGCGCGCACGCACACACACGCACATGCACGCACACATATATGTATATATATACATATGCAAATTTTATACACACATATATACATATGATTTGTGTAGATATTTTTTTTATTTTTAACATTAATATTTTTAAAACGATCAAACCAGATGGCTCTAATGATACAAATTAATGAGCTTATATGGTGCTAAATACGTTTGTCAATGTATAAAATGATCGAGAGAAGTATAATATATAATAATAATAATAACTGATATGTATAAACGTGTTGTTATATTAATTATTTTACTAAAGAAGGTCTAAAAAAGAGAATCAAAATATTTGTATAAATTCTTATAAAGAGATGTATTTCTCTAGCAAATATATATTGACAACCGCATTTAGCTCGATTTAAGCCTAATTTTTAATGATTAATTAATATTTTTATGTTCGTTGTATTTAGGAGTTGAAATCAAGTCTCTTGTCTGTCAAACTGACTGCATGATTGATGAGTCTGAGGAAAAACAGATCCTAATGTACAATTACAGATGCGTGTTTGACTTTATTTTACTTATTAAAAAAAAAAATAAAAATGAAATTGATGCGATTATCATTTATTCTTAGCGCCCTCGCAGTCATCGGACAATCAGCGAAATTCAGATTCCTCGGATCGTTTCTCGAGCGGTCGAATAACGCCTCCAGCGACAAACTTACCAAGGTTCAAGAAATATGCCGTCACAGATTTTAATTTCCTCAAAGTAAGTTCAAATTGAAGATCTTGTCGATAATTTTATCAATGATAAAACACTCCCACGCAAATTGTTCCGAACACGCTATAATCTGTACATTCTGTTCGAACACAAACGTCTTTAACCTTTTATTTATAGAACATTAATCCTACACAGTTGTTTATTTTTTGCTTACCGTGATGTACGCTATGCACTCTATTTAACCAGTTCTAAAAATCAACCAACTATTTCTAGAGTATATTACACGTACTTTGTGTATATAATCGTGCACACCTACATATGCGCACATGTACGATGGAGTGTCATAATAAAAATATTTTTCACATTTTGTTTTCGTGATTGTTATACATTTTGAATAATTGAACTGATTTTCCGTAAAATCGGCGAATATGAAAAAAACAAAAAATTAATAATACATATATAATTTGATGTAGAGTTTTACGTATTTCACATTGCATTTTGCATAAGCTATTTTAATCTCTGATGCATGTTATAAAAATATTTCTTTAGCACATATAGATACATACATATACACGAGTTAGTTAAGTTCTTTTTACCAGCAGTACACTAATAATCTAAAAAGGTCAATATTTGCTTTGCGTTATATGCAGATAATTTGACATATTTCTAAATGAATGTTCTTATACAATATGTTTTTGCGAAACTTTAATGTAGAGCATACGATAATTTCCTTGAGCAAATACAAAAGCGATATTTATTTTAATTTATTTCTGCTATGCTAAATTTATTCCAGACGAATTGATGACGAATCTGTAATTGCCAATCTTCTTATTAATTAATTAATAATTATCTCTGCAATATTAATATTTGAAGTAATTGATATCAATTTAATAAACATTTACATAATCCTTATTAAGAAACTTACAGATCCTAGAAAGGACGATAGGCTGACTTCTGTTTAAATAATGTAACGTAAATTATATATATAATCTTACACACACTTTTTGAATCGCTGAATAAGATTGTAACATTTGTATTTGTCTAAAATCATGATAAAATGGTTAAAATTTATTTTAAAATGAAATAAGTTTTTTAGATAATTGCATATTAGGGGCGACCTCACCGATTTCAATGACCTTGATATATGTTGTCAAGGATATGCTCCTGAGTAACTTTCAAAAAGTTTTAGCCGTCGCTCGTTGTTTATTAAAAAGTTATTAACAAAATAAGTTTAATGAATGAAACGTAATTGTCTGATACCGTGTACATTTAAGAATCAAAATTAAGAATCAGAAATGACACACAGAAATAGGTTTGGGTTAGGTTATATCTTCCGGAAGTGGAGGCCCCCCGTAGGGGGGGCGGAACCCACTATATCCATGCATATATTTTACAACGTGAAGCGAAGTCCACCACACAATTATTATGTGGATGGAAAAGTGTATGCGTGGATGCAGTGGGTACCGCCCCCCCCCCTACGGAGGGGCTCCACTTCCGGAAGATATAACCTAACCCAAACCAATTTCTGTAATTTCTGATTCTTAAACACTTATTACATTTACTTATTGCATTACATTACATTACAAACACTTAAACATATATTATAAATTAAAACGTAGTAAATCTCCTTTGCTCACGCGTCAAATAAGGAGAGACTCCATCCCTCTCCCGCCCACCTTTTCACTTTATAATACACACAATAAGGAGGCTCCGTCCCTCCCCCGCCCACCTTCTTGCGGACGCCCATGCACACATGCCATATATATTGTGTGTATGTGTGTGTGTGTATACTTCTTAATATTAATGTCAGAAAATTACACTTGATTCGTTAAACTTATTTTGTTAATAACTTTTTAATAAACAACGAACGACGGCTAAAACTTTTTGAAAGTTACTCAGGAGCATGTCCTTGACAACATATGTCAAGGTCATTGAAATCGGTGAGGTCGCCCCTAATATGCATAATTACCGTTTTTTAAGGTTAAAATATGTAAGTCTTTATTAATATAATTAATGACAATTTTGTTCCAATTATTTAATTATTCATATTATAGTTTATTGTTATAACTTTTTTCACTGAAATCTTAAAATTAAATATCATAGAAATTCTAAATTTATAGTAAAACCAATTAAAAATAATTAAATTTTTTAATCAAAAAATTTTAATTCTTATCATATTGATCTTAGATTTGATAAAGTAAAATATTGACATTATGTATGATCAGACTGGCACGTATGTTAAAATAGCTAATAGTGATACCAGATAGGAAAACTGGCAAATAAGAGTCGAGGGATGGTAATAAGTGCCCAAACTTGTTTATTGATTAATTTCAATAACAAGTATGTATTAAATATATATATTTTGGACCGTTTTTTGGTCCATCAAAATATATAAAAATTAAATTCATATTTAAAACTTAACATGCATGATATTAGTTGTTACATCGAAATTCAAATTAAAATCGATAATCGAGGAGAAAGACTCATCAAAACCCGCGTATGTAATATTACATTTTGAACCACCGATGGATACACATGTGACGATGACGTTCCGACGTTGTCATTAATTTGTACAGACTATTAATTATTGTCTATATGCGTATGTTGAGATTTGTATTGCCATCTTTAGACTTAAAACATTTATTTAAATTTATTATATGTTATTCCAATTGAATACGTAGTAATGACACAGATGTCTATACTAAACTAGATTGCTAACTGAACCTTCGGACTTGCATGAGATTTCCGGTTGTATGAGAAAAAATGGCAGCGGTCCTGTGTGTGTAAAGCGTATCATTTATGTGAGTCTTACTTACAGCGTCGGTGTGTGTCGGTCAACTAGTCAAAAACTGGTCAAAATAGTTAAATACAGTGCTTGTATAGATAATATTATTCAAAATATTTATCAGAAAGTTTCTGATAAAAAAATAAATTACAATATATACAATACTAAGCATATACAATACTAGTCGATTTAAAAAATAATAGAGGATTAGTATATTCGTCACATAATGTTCTTTCTCTAATACACCGGAAACCCTATCGGACACAAGCCATGCTATGCTAATCGTGACAAGTTAGCAATCTAGTTTAGTATAGACATCTGTGAGTAATGACAATAAAGTAGAACTGTTACTTTTGACAACTTCGAAGATTCGAAGCTTCGAAAAAATTCGAATCTTCGAAATTAATTTCCAACTTTCGAATTTCTTCAAAGTTTCGAAGAATATATTCGTGCGAATGGCGAATTCATTCAGAGAACGTTAAAAATATTGTAAATAAAAGAAATTTAATAATTAATATATGTGCTCAAAAATATGTATTATTTAACATTAGAAATTTTATTCGGATTTTATCATATAATTTTATAAATGTGTACCTTGATAATAATCGCAGTACTATTACTATTATATTAAATTAATAATTGTATAATTTTGATTCTTCAAAGCTTCGAAGATTGAACTATCGAAGTTTCGAAGGTTTGAAGCCGAAGCTTCGAATCTTCGATGCTTCGAATGTCGAAGCCTTCGAAGCAAATCATCAGCCCTACAATAAAGCTTTAACAAAACAAGGTACTTTATTAATTAGATGTTCATTCATAAAAATAATGTTAATGTTTAAATAAATTGAGTTTAAAATTCATGCGATAAACCGGAACGTTATTTTAAATAAATTCTGATCCTACTTTGCAGGTCTTGGGTAAAGGTAGCTTTGGTAAAGTCTTGCTAGCTGAATTGTGCGGGACGGAATGCGTATACGCGGTGAAATGTCTGAAGAAAGATGTTGTTCTCGAAGATGACGACGTCGAGTGCACGTTAATCGAGAGAAAAGTTCTCACGCTGGCGACGAGACATCCGTATCTCTGTCATCTATTCTGCACTTTCCAGACCGATTCGCATCTCTTCTTCGTTATGGAATACCTTAACGGGGGTGATTTGATGTTTCACATACAAAAGTCGGGTCGATTTCCCGAGACCCGCGCACGTTTTTACGCTGCCGAAATATGGTCCGGACTGAATTTTCTGCACAAGAAAGGCATCGTTTACCGAGACCTCAAGTTAGACAACGTCTTGCTTGATTTCGAAGGCCATATTCGAATTGCGGACTTCGGCATGTGTAAACTCCAAATCTTTCTAGATAGAACGGCCGATACATTTTGCGGTACGCCAGACTATATGGCACCAGAGGTATATCTCATCATTTGCTGGAAATTTATCTCTATTTTCTCCATTTGATTTATTAATAGTTACTTAATAGGTAAAATTATTTATATTTACAGATTATAAAAGGACTTAAATATAATCACGCCGTGGATTGGTGGTCTTATGGTGTCTTGTTGTACGAAATGTTAACCGGCCAGTCACCATTTTCTGGATGCGACGAGGATGAACTATTTTGGAGTATTTGCAACGAACGGCCGTTTATACCTCGGTATCTGAGTCAAGAAGCTACCGATATACTCATCTGTTTATTGGAGAAGGATGCTGGGAAGAGGCCGCCTGGTCATGAAATTGCTATACATGCTTTTTTTCAGGTAATCCACTATGATCTTTTGTACAGCAGAAATATATCGCGCGTGTAATCTATCAGTTAAATAAATATGCATTCCCAATTCCACAGCATTTGCCTTGGGATCGATTAGAGAGAAGACAATTAGAACCACCATTTAAGCCTGCGCTTGATCACACCTTGGACACAAAGTATTTTGACACAGCGTTCACAACTGAACGTCCAAGGCTCACGCCAGTGCCAGAACAGATTTTGACTTCGATGGATCAAAATGTTTTCTGCGGATTCTCTTATACGAATCCGAATGCGACAGACTGATACGTATTAAGCTGAAACGCATATGATGTTACAAATTTAACAAATTAATGTCTGTCATTTTCTTTCTCATAAATTTTCTTGTTCCGTATAAAAACGAGAAAAAAGACGTGTTATGTTCTTTTCGGCTCGCAAAAAATCACACATATGTTAAAGATTTGTATTTGGGCAAATGAACCGAAGAAGGAATAATATATAACGAATATAATTTGTGACATTTTGAAAACAAATATACAGAATAATAATTAGGAAATTACTGAAATTATTTGGCTGTTATTTGAAAACAAATGAGCAGGATTTAAAAAATTAAACTAGTTTGAGTACAAGAAACCTGTTAATTTTTTATTAGCATACAATACAAAAATTATATAATTTAATAATTAAATTTTTACATTTAAAAATAATGTAAAAACAGTGGTGGGCAAAATTTGATTATCAAATTATTTTTATAATCAGCAATATAGCTGATAGCAATCACATACAACAGATAGATAGCAGACAGACAGTAGTCATAATTTCAGCAACTTTCTTGTCATTCACTATTCCGTTGTTATTTGGAAACAAACGTATATATAATTTTAGTACTGTATGCTAATTAAATTAAGATTTCTTGTACTCAAAACAATTTATTTTTTACTTATTTGGTTCCAAATAATAGCTAAATATAGGATAATAATTAGGAAGTTACTAAATAGTTTTAGCAACTTCCTAATTATTATCCTATACATGTACCGATATACAAAAGTATTATATATCGGTAATAAGCAAAGCAATTACTCGTTAATAGTTTTATATATATTTTATTGATACATACATATGTATATAATTATATATATAGGGTAACTCGAGGAAAGATGTCATACTTAATTTTGAAAATCAATATTTTTGTAATTATTAATTATGAGCGAAAAAAAAATAAAAGAAATCGAAAGTATTGTCTCTATCGTTAATTATATTTAATTATTTTATAATTGATTATAATTAAAAAAGTCTAATCCTTTTATTATTTTAACAGTAACAACAACAAAAGATTTTTACAAATGTAAGATACCGGACAACCATATAACTTAATATGATTATAACTATATGTTGATTATACGTAAGACATATTTTTTAACTTAATTTAATTAATTCAAAAATATAGCGTCAAGAACCGACTATGACTACATAATAACCATTGTCGTTTCGTCACCTATACTAAACGCGATCAGCTGAATAGATTAGTGGTACCCTTTATCAAAAAATTTAAAAATTATAGAAAAGTGGCATCTTACTCGACATGGCATTTTCCCTCGACTTACTCTGTATATATTGTATATTATTAGTTATATAAAGTACAAATAACATACTTTCTACAAAAATATTTCTTGTTACACTCGAGAACAGGATGTCTTAAGACATGAATTTAAATAAATGTGTCGGAATATACGTGTATATGAAAAATGCATATCAGTTCTGTGTGTGTTAAGAAAAAGCATCTCTTGTGTGTAGTTGTACAATTAATTATATGTATATTAATGAATATATAAAATATGTTCAACTTCATAACTATTTTTTTTGTTTTTTTCATTTTTGTCGAAATATGTAAATATAAATAAAAAATTGATTAATATTGCAAATTGCAAAAGGCTAGCTTAACATAAGATTGTATTTCTATACGGACTATAAGCATATAAAAATATAATTTTTATATTATAGGCAGAGCATAATAGAGAGTTGTAACATTTACATACAATTAAATATTTATTTAATTCAGTGAACTGTTTTCGTAGTTGCATTCGTAGATTGCTCCTAACTGATTATTTAATTAAATATATACTGTAGTTTATCTATTAAAGATTAAAGAGATTCTCTCTTTCTCCCCATTATTTAAAATATCTATTATATAAATCAATCGGAAAAAACATTAAAAATCAAATTTAAAATAATTTTTGAACAGGTACGCATGTTCATCAGTATATAACTCAAATATAAGTTTAAGCAATCAAATTCAATAGAGATATATATAAGATAAAATGCTTTACTTTCAAAAGTAAAATCCATGTGTATCCAAAATAAATTGCGTGTAAATATATGCAAGACATTTCATCGGATGTATAAAATGCATGTATTTACATACAATTTTGAATTTATCATATGTAAATGTAATGCATCGTACCTGTGGAATTATAAATCATTATATTGTGTTATATTATTTTAATTTTATTAATGAGGTAAAGTAGTGAGGCAAATGGAAAGTATTGATCATTCTTATTCTGGTATAAATTTTGGCGCAATGCGTAATTATTTTACCTCTTGCATACAGTCATTATAAGTCTCGACCTCATGTTACCGCAATCATTAATATGTGAAATGCCTTATTATTTTAATTAGTGATGGAATCTATAGTTTTTTCTTCAAATGAATACTAGTTTACACATATATATTTACATCTGTTTTGTATTACTTTGTATTTGTTCCTCTCTATTCGATCAACTCCCTTTTATTTTTCCCACATCTGTAACTTTGCTCTTCCATTTCTTTTTTTAGAAATATTTTTTTTACGAATAATAAATCATTTCAGCTTCCATCTTTTTTTTCTTTATTTTTTATTACCTCTAGGAGATTTGTTTTTAAAATGACAGACTATTTTTAGTTTATGTTTTTAAACTTTTTTTTATTTTCGCCTTTCTCTTTTGTCATTACTTAAATATTGTTTTTTCATAAATATATATTTTTCATAGATTCTCTCTTTCACTCTTATTCGCTCTTGCAATTCTCTTGCGATTTGTTTTTCCTTATTTTTTTAGATCATGTATTCTCTCGTTCGCATTTATTTGGATCCGTGCTCACTGTACATATTAACTTCAGATCATCAAGAAATTGACAAATACATACTCTCACCATAGTTTTTTACATAAATATCCAGGGTTGGGAAGTAACGCGTTACTTGTAACGCCGTTACCGTTACAGTTACTTTTTTTCGGTAACTGTAACGGTAACGGCGTTACAAATTTTGTTTGTAACTGAAAAAGTAACTTCGTTACATTTTTCGGTAACGAGTAACGAATTCAACAGTTACTTTTATCGTTACTTTTTTTTTGAATTTACTCGGTATAATTTTCATACAAAGGAAAATATTGATAAGAGTGTTGGAATGCAGCATTACATGAAAACTACTCAAAGCTCATTTTGGTATCTTGTTTCTTTGTAAGACAATGTTTAAAAATTTTTAGTGTCTAATTTAATCTTGTATTTAAAAAAATTGTATGTAAAGTTATTGTTATATATAAAAAAACTAACGGAAATTGTAACGACTCGTTATTTTTTGAGTAACGGTAACGGTAACGAGTTACTTTTATAAAGTAACTTTCCCAACCCTGTAAATATCGCATATGGAAAAAGATATAAAAAATAATAACGTTAAGTCAATTAATAAATATGTAGCAACATTTTCGAGTATTTTTGCTTTTACAAATTAATAATTAACAAATAATTTTTAACAATAAGATAAACTAAAAAAATAATAAATCAATAAAATATCTTTAAAATAACAATATAACGAGATATTTTATTTTTTATATCAAAACATGTCAGATTAAAATATAAAATAACTCAAAAAATACTTAATGAAAAAATACTTTATTATAGTGTTTTGAAAAGCTCGAGATAAGCTACAAGAATATGCAATAAGAAATATAGGATTCCTTTAAAAAAAATAAAGTTGAACTCCATATGACCTTGGCACATTCACTCAAGGTCAAACCAATGACACCATCTTATGTCCCCCTTCGGATCAAACAACTTTTATCTGAAACGGTTTTCCATACCTTTCATATTTTTCGAGATATTTGTCTGGGACGATTAAAATGAAACATCCTGTATATAGTGTACACACACGCGCGCGCGCGTACGCACACGCACACACACGCACACACACGCCGGCACCTACCCCCCCCCTCCCCCCACACGCACGCACCCACGCGCACACACGCACACACGCACACGCACATATATATATACTTGCCGATGCTAAAGTATATTTCAAACAAACATTTGCATATCAATTCTGTATAAATTTGTTGTAATACTGATTTGTTCGAAATATAATGGTCATTGACATGACAAGCTGTAAAATTATTTCCAAATACTTATTAATAAAATTATGAGTAGAAATACAGTGGAAATAATTTCTTCAATTACACATTACTAATGAAATAATATTTAATTTTTTTATTAGAAGATTCCAATATTTTTGTATATATGATTACTTGTCATAAACACATATTTTGTATAAAAATTATTGTTTTTCCAAAGAAAGAAAATAAAATAAAAATGTATGTATTCCTTTCTTTATAACTTATGCTTGAATCAATTAACTTGAGTACTTGAGTATTAGGCATTTCAAACGAATGCAGCTAAGCCTAAGATTTAATGAGAAGCACGATCTCATTTAACGCTACGGCGACTGCGAAGCGTCCGCACAGGGCCGCATAAGTTTTCAAGTGAAGCAAAGATGCGGATGTCATCATACGTATAAATAGATCCGTTCGTCTGCACGATGATACGGCCCTATATTGAAGGAGTTATTTTTGAAAGCCACATCGTGAGTCGTTATAGCTCTGCACTCAGTTCTAAAGAGTTTCGTTCGTGGTAAGAGCGCGGTGGTTTCACGCTGCGCTAGAGAGCTGTCGAACAAAGACAACTTGTTTACCTCGTGAGCAAAAAGAATTATTGATTGTGCCATTAAGATCTGATCTTTTATATATTTGTTGTTCTTTGCTTCTGTCAGTGAAAGATTTAGTTTTTTTTCTAATTTACTCTAAAAACTGATATATATCATTGATTTACACACGAGTTTTAGTTACGGTAGATTTATTATTAGATATTAAAAAGTAGCTATAAAAAAACACATATTTTTATATAAATATTTTTCATTAATAATCGGCTTTAATCTAGAGGATGCTCATCATTCGATTATGTTATTATATCATCGTATAACGTAATGTAGGATGTTTATATATATTTATATAAATCGGCAAGGAAGAAGATTGCATTTTAAAGAAGCAGGTAATTTCCGAAATTTTCGTACAAATTGCATATGTATGTGATTTGTGAATGATTTCGCTGTTCTCAACTGAAATGCTTATAGTCAACAATCGTATATATACTCAGGAAAAGAAATCCATATATAACCAAATATAATATAATTATATACAAAATATGTCCACATATATTTCCTTTTTCTTGTATAATCTCGTATATGCATATATACAAGAAAAATAATAAGAAAAATAATTGAAAAATAATTATAAAAATAAATTTCGCATTGCTTTTTTAGAAAAAGTGAAATTTAAAGAAGTGCGTGAAAAAATTGCCCACATCCATCCAGCAAAATACGTATATGTCAGCAATGTCAGCATTTATTCATTGCCAAGAAGTTACTAGTGAATTGGCATCAATTATGTCCACATTAGATTTGTGATCTGCAAACAGAGCCTAGATCATAGAATCTGACAGCAGTTTGGCGGCAGAAACCGAGCTTATTAACATAACCTGACGTCGTACATTACTATTCTATTTAAATGATTAGAAAATGCAGAGAGATTTTGTTCGATTTCTGTCGTCAATCTGCCACTTAATCGGCAATAACAGTTTCTGTATTAAATTTGTAGCTTTGTATACCTTTTTGCTGACAACAATTTGTAACAGGCATTTGACAAGATCTGCTCTCGACAGTGTATTGTCTATCTGAATAATTATATACGTATATAAATATTTACATATGATTATAGATATAGGTAATTTTTCTTCTTACTTTTTCAAATTTTACTTTTTCCAAAGAAGAACAATGCACAAATTATTCTTCTAATCATTATTTAATTATACTTCTTATTATATCCTGTACATATAAAGATTATACAAGAGAAAGAAAACATACATATGAACACATTTTTTATATATCTTTATATTTATATTCGATTATATATGGACTTTTTTCTCGGGTGATAAACAAAAAAAAAGAAGTAGATAGCAAGAAATCATCATTAAAAGATCTTTTTTCTTGGATAATGAAAATTGTTTTGCTGAATTAATTCGGGCAAAATATATCGGATCGTAATCCGGAATCAAGTAAACAGATCAACAAGGATGTTCAGTTCATTAAGACTAACAACTATGGGCTCGCACAAGAGCCGTGCCAGACCGGGAAGCATCGCTACATCCGCGAATTCCGACTCGCCCAGAATGGAAGATACACTCGCACAAATACAATACCATTCTCACAGCTTTTTGCTGTCGAACGATCAAGAAGCGATAAATGTCATCGGTTTATCATCGCCGTTCAGTGTTTCTTCGAAAGTCGCGCAAGTGAGGGTGAAGCGAGAGAATGGCAGTCTCGGTGTAACTCTTCGAGGTGGAGTGTCGAAAGCTCTGATGGTGACGGGAGTAAAAACGGACGGTCCGGCTGCCAAAGAAGGAAGAGTCAGGCCCGGTGACCGGTTGCTGGCGGTAGATGACACCGAATTGCGAGGACTTACTTTGGCGGAGGCACAGCGAGCACTTAAGAAGAGTTCGGATGCACCTGTTACGTCCCTCACAATTGAATATGATGTTGCAAACATGGAAGAGGTGCGAGCGGCCACTTCCGGCCCATTGCTTATTCAACTGGAACGCGGCTTTTCAGGTATATCATTTTTCCCTCAAACGAGTTCTCATTTAAAATAAACTATAAATCTTGTTTATAGTCTAAACTATAAATATTAAATCGTAAAATCGTTAAAATTAAATCGTGAGTTTCACGTTAATCTGAAGTAAATATATAGCATGGTGAGATTGTATATCAAGAGAGTTTAATTATACAAAATCCTATTAAAGATGTACTGGCTATACAATCCCAGACAAAAGTTACTTCAATTTGAAATTGATGATGAAATTCTATGCTTTTGAGAGTTAAGATATGCACCATATATGCTCGTATCGTATAAAGGACTTAAATAATGCCAATTAATATGATTTTGGCACTACAAATGAATATATTTGCATATTTTGAAAATTTTATGATCGTCAGCAAAAAATTTTTGGACGTAAATTTCATCTAAAACCAACTGTAAAAAACGAAAAAATGTTGCGTATATTAGTAATATTTAATGTATTTTAATATTTAATGTCATTTTCGGAATTTTGCATTGCCTTTTCATTAATAACTCGATAACGAGTTAGTGAATCGATATCTACTTTTTTTAAAAACGTTGCTCAGTATTTTATTTATTCACAAACAAAGTTTCCGAATATTGGCAATGGTGCTTGCTTATAATTTCGTTTATATAAGTGGAAATATGCTGCTACTCCATAAGAACGCATGCAAAATTAAAGTTGGATAATTCGGGAATCGGTTAGGAAATCGTCTTCAGGTTTTATATACGTGTTCAGATAATAAATAGAAACAATCTATTAAATTTTCAGGGTATTGTCAATAAAATTAGAATGCTAGTACCAGTACATCCTTAAATTATTTTCATCCTTTCATGTTTTCCCGGAAAAAAAGTCAATATATGCATATAATAATTCATATCAAATTTATAAATATATAAAATTATCCACAAATAACCAAATCTGCGATCTCATATTACAAATTGTGCGCTACGTATTAGTTAGTAAAACTCCGACAGTAACCGAGTATATGATCTGCCATCTTATTAGTTAGTGTTGGCAAAAATGCAGCAGAAAACGAGCAATCCATGCAATCATAATATACTACAAAAAATGCTGCAAAAATTTAAAAAAGCAGAAGTTCTTGACACATAAAAATAGTAGAATTTGAGTATTGCGTGCTCTGGTACAATATGTCAACAGAACTGAGTAGAACATATGATATCAAGTTATATTGGCAAAATATCGTTAGAAGCTCATCTGCAAGCACGGCGACGGCAAAAACGCAGCAAAAATCTAACATTCGGTGCCGTTTCAAAAGATAACAGCAGAAACATAACATGGTGTATTGTCATAAAATAATGGCAGAAATACACCGAAATTATATAAGATAGTAATATCGGGTTATAGTTTTTTTGTTTACCGCTATACGACGTATCTGTCTCATATTTAAGTTTCTATCATGGGAAAACTCAAATAGCAAAATGATGTTATAATGACGAATATTGTCACAAAATTTTTGTTACGATATGATCAATTAAAAACGTTCCAAGTTAGATCTCATAAAATCCGAAAATGACGTCGATGTCATATCTACAGAACGTCATTTTCTAACGTTTTTTTACGGCAAAGATAAGATCAATCACATTATTAATATATAATAACATATATGGATATAAAATATATAGATAAATTTAAATAATTTAATTTATAAGATTAAAAATTTTATTTATATGGAAGTTTATATCTTAAGTAGACAATAATAAGAACCATTTTTACTTATTTGGACAATTCCTGTCCGAATAATAATAGTTGTTACAATGTTATTAGCCGTATTTTGTAGGTTTTATGATAAAAACTTGAATACGAGTATAGTGAATAGCACCACATAGCGATAAGCAAATGAACTATAACCGTAATAACAAGTTACAAGTTACAAATTACGAAAGGACTTTATTTGGACGACTTTAGATCGTCTTCAAAATGACGTCTTTGGCTGGTCTAAGAAATGATTTTTAAGAGGATGCCGGATTACCGACAGAATGCGAATATTAGTTAAAATGCAAAATCTTTTTGTTGATTATAGATATCAACAAATCCTTTTCCACAATTAAGGTATATATAATAACGGAGTGCGGAGTTTAACATTTCATATGAAAAGTAAAAAAAAATGAGAAAATTACAGTTTTGTTATCGGCTTCTGCCGTCAACATTTACTTAATATAACAAATTTGTAATCTGCACGTGCCTAATGAGTAAACCCCGCACTCGGCATTTCATCAAAGAGTATAAGTGAACTTAGAGAAGTGAGTTTAGAAGCT